GTGTGTGTGTGCGTGTGTGTATGTGTGTATATACACATATCATAAGAATGTAGTTACGAAATTCCCAGTCGGGTCTATAATTGCATTTTGAAATTTACGAGGGTGGCGAGTATCTGTCAAAATGGTGACCTTCGATATTCGCACGGAGTATTAAATCCGTTTCACTTGTAACAATATAGGATTGAATTTCATCCCGTAATCCGAATGCACGCAAAAAGCCTCGATTAATAAGAAATGGATTCGCATTAAATACCAAGATAAATTTATAATCGATAGAACAGCAGGTTTTCTTATTAAAATAAAAACAATAATTTTTTGTCAAACGATAACAACCTTGTTGAGCTTTCTACAGAATACAAATGCCATTAAGAAACAGCATTCGTTTTACGTGAATCTTTTTAATTCTTAATTAATCATGTGAGAACATAATGTGATAACATCTCTATCTGTTCCGAGCAACAGTAGTAAACGAAGAGCGTTAATGCTGACTAAAAAATAAAATTGTAAGCGTTGTGTGCTTAATAGATATAACTACATAGAATTAATCTCCATTCACACGATTACTTATATCATACAATTCGATACATCTAATTGAAAGAATTAGATTTGTCCATTTAATGTTATACACAGATTGCGAATTTGTTGAGAAAGAAATCTCTGCAAATTGAAGCGCGAATCGAATCATCGCCGCACGACACATTGCAAAATTTTGAGACATACGAAATTTGAAAGATCTTTGTCGACATCGCGTCAGATTTTTTATATAAGAATCACGAATGTGTTGAGAAAGAAGAGAAAAAAGTGAACCATCGTCATTTTCGCAATCGATAGAGTAAATCAAAAGAGAAAATAATTTATAATAACTGATAATAATAATTGAGGTTGAGGAGAAAGAAGAGGAGAGAGATAATGCAATAATAAATAACAAATAATTTAACCCTGCGTGAGTTCGTAATTCCGAAGTCGCGAATAAACGAATGCCTGCGAATAATCGACGTCGTGAATTTCTTCAACAATTTTTATCGCAGTTTTTTCTGATCAATCATTACGTTGCGAAAGATGCCTGATGATGTCACGAGTGTAAAGCGATAGATCCTCGAATATCCTATCCTATCCTGCCGGACGAACCGCTATTTTCGTATCCCATTGACATTTTCGAATGTCCCAAATATGACAGAGGTACGACAAAAAATGTAAATCCCTTTGGATTTAAATATATTTTGCAGCAAATTTTTTTATAAGCAAGAGATTAATGTGTTTTTCTTATTTCACATTTTATATCGTTGGCAAATAAATATCGCAAAGAAATTTTTAATGAAAAATTTTGATATTTTTGGAAATGAAATATGCGGAATTTAACAAGCAAGTGACTTTATTATTTTGATCTATATTTTATTTTTTATATGGCGTTCTTATTTTCGAAAATTTTAAGTGTTTCACAGATATTGGAACATTTCCAAAAAAATGTTTAAAATTTTTAGGAGCTAAAAAATGTACAAAAATCTAAAACTTTTTGAAACGTCAAGCAATTTTCGGTTTCAAATAATGTTCGAAGAAAATTCGCAATTTTATACAATGGAATCGTTTGAGAACTTTCGGAAGAAGGATTCAAGTGTTTATTATTATTATACAGGAGGGAACGCAAAGCGGCGTGTCAAAACGCCGAGCCGATTTACGAATCACGATGCGGTAATACACAACGAATTTAACTTCTCACCCGCACAAAAGCCGAACGGATACGCGCGAAAAAATGACGCCCCGCGCGCCACAAATTTTTCTGATAAGCAGCGCGCGGCCAGACCCGCAGCCACTGCACACCCCATTACCCCTTCTCGCCCTTATTCTCTTTTCTCTTCCCTTTGCGAAACGTGTTCTACGCGCCTGCACGCCAATATACGCATATAACGTGCCTACACTCCGGACTGTCGCGCAAGAGTTGCTCGACCGGCGCATTCTTTTTCTTCTCCCTTCTCTTCATCCCTCTCTCTCTCTC